TTTAGGCACTCCAAACTCAAATTCTACAGAGTTTTAAACATTAAGAAGTGAATTTAAAGGTATACTGAAATGAATATTTAAATATACCTCTCATGTTCAGGAATAACTCATACATATTCAACGAAATTAACCAACCACAATCGCACGTTGGTATTTTAAACAGTTGGCTATATTTTTTTCTTGTTTCAAACGGCCGAGTCCAGGGAGCGCTCGAAGAGCATCCATCGGAGAGCGCGAAGCGTCTCTGGAGATTCGACCCCTCAAGCGCGCTCGTGACTTCATGTTTACCTTCAAGTTTACCTTCATGTTTACCTTCGATAGATAACGTCTACTAAAGAATTACCTTTCATAAATAAGAGCAATCGAAGGCGCAAAAAGTGCAGCTCAGCCATAAAAAGACCAGACTTTTAAAACGCCGAGAATAGCGACGAGAAATTCAAAATACTATTAGAAAAACTTCAAGAATTCTTTTTTTTTTTCGACAACAGGAGCGGGCTATCGACCAATTTGTCTTTTAAACACCCGTCAGAACGTATGACCCACATGCTACTGGAAAACCCTTTTCATCGGATAGGCAAGACTCTTATCTTTCGAAAGCAGTCATACGTGCTGTGGCTTAGACATCCTGCTGACTCATGAATTATCAAAGAGAGGCTCGAAACACATCCCTTCTTGCACATCTCCGCGTAATGCACAGTTGCTGATTAACATATCGTGTTTTCATCTCCGCTAGGCGCAATATAATTCCAGTGCCCGTCTGAGTCTTAGCGTCGTAGTCACTATCGCGTGACGTATGTTTGATAATTAATTAACTTATTGATTTATTTATTTTTGAATATCCAAAGCAGAATAGCTTTAGGAAGTGGAAGGTATGTAAAAAATAGATCAACAAATTATAGGAAGGAGTAGAATAAAATAACGTATAGCTGTGTTTTTAAAAAAAACTAATTTGTATGCCAACGGTATCGAGATAAAACAAAATGGCAATTTTTTTTTTTTACTGACCATCTTTTTACTGTAGACATAAGATTCCCTGCGGGTACAACAAAATAGCCGCACGTTAGCAGCACTCCTGATCAAGCAGAAGTGCCCCCTACTTAAAATTGATGATTGGGCGAGTCGACTACTCATAATACCGCGACGAAAAAAGACAAATTATTCAAGGTATGCTGGCCCCGCGCTGCAGGCATTTGACCAGTGACAACCGCAAACCTTTGAAACAACAAATACGACTTATATTGTGAAAGGCGCCATTCAGGAGGAACATAGCAATTATGAATACCGCTTCATCCACTAACCTATTCCTCCACCGGAGAGTGCTTGTCTAATAATGAATGATTCCACTTGGTGCTCTAAGACGGGTGACTTCCAATTTCCTTACCCCTTTTCTTCAGGTTCCTTCACAGCTCTGTGTGGTGAACCATCTCTGCGCACGGTCATTATTCGTATCCTTTATATTTTTGTATCTTCATTTGATCTATTTTTCACCCTTTTGGTGTCTGCAACACCCGCCTTTTTGTGACAAAGTGGCTCCTTCCCCTTTTAATTAAAGGCTGGCGCTCTGGGATGCAAATTTCCCCATAGCTCTTCGCTTCCCATTTGTCAAGGAGAAGTAGCGTCGACTGGCCCTTTTCACGGGAAGACCGAAGAGCGCTATGGTTGTTTATTCCAGACAGTTTTCCGATTTCTTGTCGGCACTTTTTATTTCTCCTCTGAATTGGATGCCGCCTAAAATACATTCTATAAAACGCCAGAGCCGAGGTTGCCAACTTTCTGTTTATTTATTTATTTTTCTTCAAAATACCCCTAAAGGCCCTCAAGGAAGCGTATGGCGGAAAGGGGAGGGGGGGGGGGGGGGGGAGGGGAATCGGAGAGTGGAGAGATCATAAAATATATTATATAACAAAATGTATTCAAAACGACAAAGGCAAGATAAAAGAATACAAGCTAAAACAAGCTCTAGAAACATCTTCCTAACTCTTGCAAGGAATATTTTGCGTTTATAAACTCCCTGGATTCTATGCTATCTCAAGGTATTGTATAACATGTCCCTATATTTTTTTTCTTTTTGGTTCATACATTTTCAGTCTCAGGTAACGGGGGTAAAAATACAAAGGCAAATCCCTCGGTTAAGTGATCTTTCTTTTTTTCTAATTTACTTTTTTGAAATTATAAATATGTTCCGAAAATCATGGGTAGGAAGAATATTATTATAATTTTACGCACTGAAAGCGCTACACATGCTTGCGCCAATCATTTACTTTCTACCCTATGAAACAAATGCACTAGCACACTTCTAGCATCGTGCAGCGCTCTAGATAAATCTGTACAAGGCTTTCACCGCAGTGTTACAGCGCATTGGAATCTGACCTTGTAGACCTGTCCGGCTGTGCACGTTGTGAGTAAATGTTTAGCCTAAATTAAAACGCCTACGGTTCAATAAAATAACGTGATACAACGCAGTTTCTTTTTTTTTTTTTGCTTTAAAATTAAGTATTCCGGTCGATCAAATTTGGACGCATAGTTATTTGGTTTGCCTGCATACATAACACCATGCTGAAATGCATTGTTCTCGTTCCATGTCTCAGAAAATAAATAAATGTATACCCATCTCTTTGATTTCTCTCCAAATTCGATAGGAGGCTCTCATCGTGGCACTAATCCCAACTAGCAGGCGCCAGCCATCCTTCTCCTCCTCTTCCCTACCCTGCTAGATTTTTTTCCCCAAGAGAAACGAGGAAAATGATTCTGTTAGAGGGAGACAAACCTTCGGTTTCGCCTTTTTATTTTTACTTTAATGTTGTGCTTTCCCAATAAACCCGCTGGCATAGCAGCACTCAAGACTGATTGCACTGTCACGGTAGCGCTCAAGGCTGATTGCACAGCTTATAAGAACGCACCATATTAGTGTCACGGGTTCTTTGGCACGGATGTGGACACCTAGACAATGACTGCTTCCGTTTCGCTGTAGCAACAAACTAGACAGTTCGTCTGATTCCCGCTTTCCCAAACTCCACGTAGTTGCTCTTTTCCATGATGAGCATCTTCTAGAGAGAAGACGAGCGCCTCTCGAAATGAAGGGGCCCGGTTGCAACACACTAGCCAATATAGATGAAGACAGACTGAACCGCACAAATCAGCCAAACTGATTGCACGTGGTCTCGCTATTCTTCAGGGATTGCGAAAGATAGAATGAGGTACGACCCTCGCTACGAGGTTGGCACACGATTTCTTGTGAAGCAGTTCGTTATTTATGAGCGGCATCGTGCCAAAGTTGACATTCCGAGTCTCGGCTGCGAAACACGTCTTTTGTATTCCCTTCCTTACAATACTCTGACTGACTGCACCTCTCGCGTTCCTATAAACCCCTTCATTGTCTTAGCTATGGGTAGACTGGCGTTCAGTTTTGTTTCTAGAAGCTTTCTGGTTTAGAGGACGAAGGTTTTTGTTCCTTCTACACTCTTAAAAAAACTGTAGAATGTTACTAATTCCAGCAGATATTGCCTTTTATGACCGTTACCACGTTTTTACTAGCTATTTACTACCTGAAACGAGCGACAGATTGTAGAAATTGGTAACTGCAGCAGGTACTACCTTTCTCTGGCATTTTCTATGTTTTTACTAGGCATTTCCTACCTCAAACGTGAGACACGTAGTAACTGCAGCTGATACTGGCTGAAAAGGTTGAGCAAGTAAACACCACTGATGCCTGAAATACTGCACCTCGTATACTTGGTTTTCTTTCTATAAATAATGATTGGAATATTTTTGATAGCGCTAAATAGTTACAACATTTTCAACGACACTGTCTAATTATTGTATTTTTTGTAAATAAATGAATAGCACCTAAAAAGGGGTGGCATAAATTAAATAAACGAAACATATACCCGAACAGCAATATAAACACTTATTTTTGTATTATTTCTAGCATTTATGGTAACGGGCGCCAGATAGAAAAAAAAAAAAAACTTTATATAAAAAAAATCCGGCTCAGTACGTTATCTATCATAAAACACCTTTCCCTCAGTGTAGGCTCAGGAGGATGTATACTTGGTCAATCACTTGATATGCCGAAGATTTTTTAAAGGTGTCTTATTGCCTTTTGCCCCGATAAATATCAAATGCACGCAGACAGAGATTGCTGGCGGTCCCGGATCAACATCCACACAAACCAACGCGCTTGCCATGAAATAATCCCATAGGAGGCTCTTTCTATTCACTATGACAAACGACCTAGCTACTCAGAGGGCGGAAGAGTAACAAGGACCGTGTACGCGGCTTTCGACTTACTTAGTGCAGGCTGCTCGACTTTTTAAATGATTCGGACATATCGTTGACAGTGGCTGGGAGCACAACCATATCAAACCCATTTCGTTTCACACAGGTTGCCACAATTCCCGCCACAGCCCTGCTCGAGCTCGAAGGGACACTGGGGTCGCGCGCGCTTGTCACGCCCTGGATTTCATTCCCAAAACAATAAGTTTTGAGAAGTTACCGGAATGTGCCAGGTTTGCCTAGTACTCTTGATATAAATAAACGCGTTTTTTGACAAAGAAATCATCTTCTGCGCAGACTAGGTGCGGACACTGCGCGTGGGGAAAGACTAAAGTTGCGCGAGCGTAAGCGCCTGCGCATGCGCAATGCCTACAGCACGTCGACCGCAGTGTCGTCGGTGTATGCGGAGCGCAAGTTCCTTTGCCTCCTTTGCAGGGGTTGTGGTGTCGTCGAAACGCCGAGATCTGATTGCCTCTGAATGAAGGATAGCGGGTAGACCTCAAGGCACCTTGCTTTGAGCCTCGAGGTCTTCCGACTATCCTTCATTCAGAGCCAATCGGAACTCGGCGTTCTAACGTCACCACAACACAATCCCTGCAAAAGAAGCAAACTAGCGCTTCGGAATGCCGGGGTGACAACACTTCTCTACAATGCCCCCCCCCCCCCCCCCCCCCAGAAAAAACGGAAAAAAAAAAGAAAAGTAAACCCAAGTGTTACGTCAGCATTCAGTTGATTTTTGCTTGATATTTGTCTGTGTAGGCGTGGAGAGCTGTATTATGAGTGGCGACGTGCTGCGGCGAGGGTATGTACAAACTAAAAAAATAAAATACAAAATTGCCCCAAAAGAAACGAGGGTTATTTAATTTGTAGCTAAAGTCTCGTTCACCCTGTGCCTACACCAAAATAACATTTCCTTAGAGGTTCCTCTGCAAAGATTAGGAACCTGGAGCGGTGTATAGGTAGGCTAGGCAGTATGCATTTCTTTTACTGCCTGACCCTGTACATAAGTAATATCTGCTTTTGTAGGTGAGCGCAATTTCTATCTAATATTTAACTGGATAAGCTTCCTTCTATCTTTTTGTATTATATCCATAGTAGCGGTCTTTGCCCGGCCAGTGTATAATTGAGCGTCTGGCCGCTTTAATGAGAAGTCCTATCCTTCGCCACTGCGACTCTGTTGGTGCCCACCTCTTGTTCATGAAGTAGTAGACGATGGGGTTGTACATCGCGTGCGACATGGCCAGCCAGTACATGGCCAAGTACACGTGCTGGATGTAGTCTACGTAGGCCACCTTGGGGTGATGAAACACGTAGATGAAGTAGATGTGGTAAGGGAGCCACGAGACCGTGAAGAGGACAACCACCGTGAACAGCATCTTCACCACCTACGAGAGAGACAGGGGATATTTTGAATCAGTTTAACTCTGAAATTGGGATGGTCAATTTGTTAGGTTCTTAGTTTACTTTTACAAATATTGAGCAATGGAGGAGCAATAGCGTAATCACTAGGTTTCCGCAACTTTAAGTATCATATCTACCATTGATTTTTTTTTAACAATTTAGATTTTTTTGTTTTAGTTCAAAAATGCTACTTAAAAAATCAATTTCTGCTGGAGGCAAACGTATTAGAAAATCACACCGCCCTCCAAAACGTCGTTCTTGTTTTAAGTGTTTCTAAAACGGCGTTTTATTCGTTCCTATAGTACACGCTAGTAAGTGTTTAAAAGAAATGTATTCTCTTTTTAACACAGGTCACGTTCGCTATGTGGACGAAAGTTTTGTGGACGAATCGACTAAACACATGCATTTTTATCCGATTTCTTTGGTGAACTTACACTATGAACGTTATTTGGAAAACGAAGGTGTCCACGTTAGCGGAACATCACGGTAGTGCGTAGCATACACTTTTTTTTTCAAGAGTGTAAATTTGCTGTAAGTATAAAACAAAACGAGCAGCAACTTGCCACGCAGGGGAGGCCCGCATATCGCTCGGTTTTTATCTCTCTTCGCTACATAAAATAATAATACAAAAGAAGGGAATGAAAGACGCCGCTTTGTGCAAAATGCTGTCGATTGCACACTCGCTGATTTTTATTTGAAGTTCGAGCGAAGCGGACATTACAAGCGCGAAGATGTTGTTTTGAACAGCGCCGCATCGAACTAATCTGTTTGCACCGGGCTCGCAAATGTGGCATTGGCTGTGCTCTTACTTCAGGTGAAACAGGGTATAGCCCGGGACTTCGAGATGTGGAGTCAAGTGCTCACTTGAGCTCTCAGCTGCCGGAAAATGTTTTTAGAGGATATCACTCAACTCAGCCGTCTGTCGAATGACTGTTCCTGAAGAACTACACCAGAAAAAAAAGTTTACATAGAAAGCAAATATTTCCTACGACCTCAATCTATTCCAGGAGGCATACGTAAAAAAATAACGTTCCAGGTCATTAGGGAATTTGATTTTATAAAATGTAATGCAGGAAAGAACAGAATAATGGTATTCCCCCTTAGTTAAAAAAATAAATAAATGCCTCACATGACCCACAGCAACACCATGAAACTTTTATATAAAGAACTGTTCCTTATACTAATTGATAAAACTTTTTGGAGTCTTAATTAGGCGCGTTTTTTTTTTAATTAGAAGGAAATACCGCCCACGTGAATATTTACACTAAATTCACGGTCGTTTCTAGCGGAATGTATTGTTGCGGTTGGCTTAAAATTGTTTCGCGTACAAAAAAAAAACTCTTATTGTTGTTTTGTTTTTTTCATAAAAGAATTTTTTTCAGCACCATAACAAAAAGTTGCTCGAATACCTTTCTAAAAAAAAAAATTTGTTGTTTATGCGAACATTATAAATTGTCTTGAACCTCGCACTACCTTATAATTTTCAACGTACATTTACAGTATGCACACTCTGGATGTTTCATGCAGTTATTCCCAAACCCCAATTACACTAATCTTCCGCATCGGAAACTCTTTTTTTGTGCAATTCGAGTCGTACTATAGAGTGAACTTGATTTGTACTAATTAGGAAACTGAGAGAAAAGAGTGATTGCAAACTTAGGAAAGGTTTTTTTTTTTGTTACTAAATTATTGGAGGGCACCGAATGGCTGGAATTTTGACGACGACAAATTAAGACAGAACGGAGTGTTCTAGTGATTACGCGGGGGTCATTCTACTTTAAATACGAACGGGAGGATACCGAACGGTAATTACGGCGGGGCGGATCAATAATAAATATATAAATACATTACGATTATTTTTTTCAAATTTTATTTGTTCGTCATCTTGTAAACCCTGAGATGGGGAACGATAAAAAAACGTCCGTTTTTTTATCGTTCCCCATCTCAGGGTTTACAAGATGACGATTGATTACCAGCTCGCCTGCACTCTCTCACTGCTTACAATTTATTTGTTACATACTGCAGGCCTCTTGATCGGTCCATGCAGGTGTAGGGTACAGTACACCCTCAAACCATTATTACAACGGCTCTCATAATTATTATTAATTAACACTTTCATAACTAATAATCAACGGCAAAAGAAAAAAAAAACGTTTGTACGACAAATGTTCAAAGAGGTTTACAACACTAGAGCTCAATGGCAATACATAAAAAGGATAATCATCTAGTGCTTTATTAAAATTCGGGGCTGTGTATATATTGTAAGGGAGGGCGTTTCAATCTGATATGGTGCGTGAAAAATATGAAGACATAAAAATGTTGCTTCGAGCAAATATTGGTTAAAAAGGAAACTGAAGGTGGTTCCTAGTGGCTCTGGAAGATAATGAGGTTCAATATGAATTAGAGTCGACGCACAGATTGTCGTAATAAAAAAGGTACAAGAACTTCAGTCTTGCAATTTTCCTACGCTGTTCTACGGACTTGATATTGTTTGACGCTATTAAGGAGGATGGTGTGTCAAGCCTCTTGTACTCTCTAACTGCTTTCCTTTGGAACGCAGTTAGAGAGTACAAAGGAAAGCAGTTAGAACAAACTGCTTTCCTTTGGAACATCTCAAGTTTTGATGCCTCTTTTTTCGCGTTCGGATCCCAGATTATATTAACATATTTTATTTTTGACCTTAAGCAGGAGTTGTACGGTTGGAGTTTAAGGGAGCTTGGAACATTTTTTAACTTGCGTCGTAGGAAACCTTATTTTCGAAAAGCTGAGGAACTGACATTTTGAATATGTCTGGACCATCGTAGATTGCTTGTTAGGGTTTCTCAAATATATTTGTATTTATTGACTTCGGTTACTCTAACAATATTTGCTTGATATGTGAATTTCAAAAGTTTAATTTTCCTGGTCATGCGTAAGTGAACAGTCTTCGCGGAATGCAGTTGCATTTCCCACTCATTACACCTATCGTCAACTAGAGTAAGAGAAAAATGAAGCATTTTTGGTCATCGACAGCGGATATGGTTTTAAACAAAACACAATCATCTGCAAATAAGCGGATATTAACGATCGTACTCACAGTTGACACAATATCATTTATATAGATGAGAAGTAGCAGGGGACCAAGTAGACTGCCTTGGGGAACACCAGAGGAAATATCGAGTGTACAGGAAAAATGGCCTCCAACTTCAACAAACTGGTTACGATTGTATCTCTGCGATGCGAAATTAGAGCGCAGCTCTTGAGGTATTTAGATTTTTCGATATACCGTGATAACGAATTTAGGAAACAAATATCTATATGAACTACCAGAAATACTATGAGCGTGAATGCGCTTCCGCGGCGACAAGCAGATACGCGTGCGTGCTCATATTGTTTCCGAGAGTGCATATATAGATACTGTTGCATACGTTATATATATATATATATATATATATATATATATATATATATCAGTGTGTCGAACCGAAAAAAATACGGGTTCGGTTACGGTTCAGGTTCAGGTAAATTTATTTTGTTCCGGTTCAGTTCCGGTTCGATTAATTCGATCCGCGAACCGGTTCGGGGCGCTGAACCGGTTCGCGGACCGGTTCGGAAATTATAAATGACAAAATGCAACATCAAAATAAATTACAAATAAAACATCTGAAATCAGCACATACGAAACGGGATACATCGTAGTGTAAGGCTCAGGGATTTCTACCAGGAATGGTTTCTTTATGTGCACTCAAAAATACCTCACCGACGTTTACGCATTCGGACTTCATCTAAATGGGTCCGACGCAGTAGCTGTAAAATCCGCGACCTCCTTACAAACCCACTTAAAAGTAGAACTCGCTAACTATCCCGCCACCTCGGCGTGTAAGCAATTGAAAAAACAGTGGGAGGAAAATACAGCTTTCTTTATTTGAATTAGCCTTCGGTAACTCAAATTAGACCCTTAAAGAAGTTGTCGCTAATCAAGATACGGAATATAAAAAACACTTCACCGAACGCAACGCCAGAAGGACGTAATAGAATAAATATTAAAATAGAAGAGTTCGCTGTCTCACAAATATGTTAGCTTCTAAGTGCCTATACGAAACCGGATGCATTATTATCAAACTCCACAGCCTTTTCTTTTCTCATTCCGATGGAAGCAAGCTTCAAGAACTCGCGCGTTCTAGAAACGTGTTATGAAATGAGCACACAGCAGCATTTAGGATTTACGAGATTGTACAAAAATAAAATCCCGTGACGCGATTTTTTTTTTTTTTTTGCACAGCCGTTTAATTCTTTTTCTTCCGTGCAAGCCGCGACCAGCGCAACACTGGTTCCTATGTCAAGATTCATGAATGCAGCGTTTGTCAAGATTCATGGATGCAGCGTTTATATTCCTAAGACTGAGTGGAGAAGAAAAATATGTAAGCGAGGTGTGTGTGAGTTGACGGCACTTAAAAAACAAATGGCATTGATAGCACATTCATTGTCAACAGCGCGTGGCCGAACCGTTTTGACATGAGCCGGTAACCGTTATTGTTTTTCCGGTTCAGTTCCGGTTCGGGTTCATCGCGATAACAATATAACGGTTCGGGTTCGGGTTCAGTTCCGGAAAAAATAGCGGTTCGGTTCCGGTTCGACACCCTGATATATATAATATAATATTTATTTATAAAGGAGGAGGGGGTACTGAGGAGGAGGAGGAAGGGAAGGAGCGGAGGACCCTTCCTTCTTCTTCTCCTCTACCCTCCTCCCCCTCCTCCTTCTTCCGTCCTCCTTTTCCTCCGGCTATGCCGACGGCGACGCCAACGCCGCAAAACACGGGAACGAGCGCCAAAGAGCTGCGCTCTAATATTGGCAGCGACCTTTACCTTCAAAGTCCTATAACGCATGGAATGCGTTACAGGCAATGGTTGAGGGAATCGATGTGTCACGTGACGTATATTCGTCCGCTAAATTTAGCGGGAAAACTGAATTGTTGTATAGGCCAAGTGTCGGCAGGTCACGT